CATAAAGTGGTAGAAACAACTCAAAAGACAAACAAAAAAGATGATCAACTTAAAAATAATAAAGATAACATAAGAACTGTATGGAATAGTATTAAGATGAATAACATTCATATCACAGGAATTCCAGGGGTAAAAATTCCCATTTGAAAAAGTATTAGCTAAAAAGTTTCCCAATGTGAGAGTTGGACATCCAAAATCAGCTTAAAGAATTTCAAAGAGGGGCTGGAGAGATAGCACAGCGGGTAGGGCGTTTGCTTTGCACACGGCTGACCCAGGTTTGATTCCCAGAATCCCATACGGTCCCCTGAGCACTGCCAGGAGTAATTCCTGAGTGCATGAGCCAGGAGTAACCCCTGCGCAAAGCTGGTACCCAAAAAGAAAAAAAAAAAGAATTTCAAAGAGATGCATACCGTGTCATAGTATATAACTAAAATAACAAGTCAAAGGGAATTCTAAATGCAGTAGAAGCAGAGTCACATGTAAAAGGAAATCCATTAAGAGAATCATAGAAACTCTACAGGCCTGAAGGTAATGGCATGATAAATACGAAATGCTAAGCGGAAAAAGGCTTCAATAAAGAATACTCTATCTAGTTACGATATCACTCAGATTTTAAGGAGGATCAACGGGGTTTTCAGACAAAAAAGTTAAAGGAATTCATCAGCACTAAAGCAGTTCTCCAAGAAATACTTAAAAGACCTCTGCAAAAGGAAAACAAACCCTATATGGAAGATGATGTATGAAAAAAATCAAATATGGAAGAGGAGAGTAATGATGGAGAGACTCTTTTATTTTCAAATTTACTAAATCCTTTCCTCTTTTGGGTTTTGGGCAATGCCTGGTGGTGATCAGGACTTATTTCTGTGATTAGGGATTAGTTCTGGTGGAGGTGGGGAACCATATGGGGTGCCAGGGATAGAACCCGGGTCAGCTTCATGCAAGGGAAATGCCCTACCAACTGTGTTATTGCTCTGGCTCCTAAATCTTTTATTATCTCCATTCTGGAGCGATAGCACAGTGGTAGGGCGTTTGCCTTGCACGCAGCCAACATGGCCGACCCGAATTCAATTCCTCCGCCCCTCTCGGTGAGCCTGGCAAGCTACTGAGAGTATCTTGCCGGAACGGCAGAGCCTGGCAAGCTCCCTGTGATGTATTCGATATGCCAAACACAGTAACAACAAAGTCTCCAATGGAGACATTACTGGGCCCGCTTGAGCAAATCAACGAACAACGGGAGGGCCTTTACCTTTACCTGTTAAATTTAGATAATTTAAAATTTCAGATTTATTTTCCATTTCTAATTTTTTTTATTTCTTTTAAAGAAGATCTTATTTATTCTATCATTGAATGCAGTCATAATAGATGTTTTAAGCATTTGGTCCAGGGGCTGGAGCAATAGCACAGTGGGTACGGCGTTTGCCTTGCACGTGGCCAACCCAGGTTCAATTCCCAGCATCCCATATGGTCCCCTGAGCACAGCCAGGGGTGATTCCTGAGTGCAGAGCCAGGAGTAACCCCTGTGCATGGCCAGGTGTGACCCAATTTGGTCCAAATGAGAAATATTACAAATAAAAAAATATTATAAATCTCCTTTTAAGCATAGTTTTAGTTGTGTTATATATATATTAATATATAATAATTTAGTAAATCTATTAAAAATTTTCAAATTTCAGTTATAAATTTTATTTGCCTTGAACCATAATTTATACTTATAGTTTTGGGTAGGGCATTTGTCTTGGGCTGACCCAGGTTTGATTACTCTGTCCCTCTTGGGAGCCCAGCAAGCTACTGAGAGTATCCTGCCCACATGGCAGAGCCTGGCAAGTTCCCCTTGGGTACTGGATATGCCAAAAACAGTAACAACAAATCTCACAATGGAAACGTTACTGGTGCCTGCTTGAGCAAATCGGTAAGCCAGGGGAAGACAGTGCTACAGTTTTAAACTACTAAATATATAGATTATAAGCATCTCATTATATTGATTTATAGTTTTTAAATTTATAGTTTAATCTCATAGTGAACCTATAACATACTATATTTGATTTGAATCTTCTGAAACTTGTTGAGATTTATATCAGATACAAGCATATAGTTTGTTTTTGTAAATTTTCTGTGTTTTTAAGGAGAATTGTTGAGTACATTGTTATATGTCTTTAAGTAGTTAAATTAAGCCGAATCATGCCATTAACTATGCTTTAATAATATCCTTAGACTTCTGCCTCTATATTTTATCAATAATTATTTTGGCGAGTATAGGTTATTAGAATCATCCTACTCCCCAGGCAGCTCTCTCAGAGCAATGTTGATATCCGGCCACTTAAAAATATGCTCATTTTGATGACAACTCATTTGATAGGAGCTACAGTATCATATGCCAATGTTTGAGTGGGTGTTTTCTGGATAACCTCAACACTGAGAAACTAGACTATTTCCATAGAGCTTGTCCTAAACATGCAGTGAGCCATCTCAGTCAAGTGACTTTTAACAGGGTGCTCAGTCACTGTGTATGAGTAACAGAATAAATGGGTGAGTTATTGTCTTAAATATGCAGAGAGAAAATAGAACACATAAGCCTCTCCATGAACTAGGGATGCCAGATTTAGCAAATAAAAACACAGGACACCCTTGCTGTTTATCTGAAATTCAAATTTAACTTGGCAAACTGTATTTTATCTGGCACCATTCTAGAGTATTGGGAGTGAAGAAAAAAATATTTTTAAATTCACAGTGGTATTCTGGGGTTACTGAGATCTTCGGCCATGTTGGCTGCGTGCAAGGCAGACGCCCTACCTGCTGGGCTGGAGCGATAGCACAGTGGTAGGGCGTTCGCCTTACACGCGGCCAACATGGCCGACCCGAGTTCGATTCCTCTGCCCCTCTCGGAGAGCCTGGCAAGCTACCGAGAGTATTCGATATGCCAAACACAGTAACAACGAAGTCTCCAATGGAGACGTTACTGGGCCCACTCGAGCAAATCGACGATCAACGGGAGGGCCTTTTACCTTACCTTACTGAGATCTTAATAGGGAGACTAGACTAAACAGTGGTACCCTAGAGTCACACACCAGTAGGGGGCATGGGTAACAGAACATCAGGAATTTATCTTCATTCCACTTTATCAGACCATTCCTTAATTTCCAAGGAGCCTCCTAAGAAACTCAGATCACTGTATTTACTTACCAATACTCTGAGTCCCACTAAAAATAATGCCACAACTAGTTAGGCAATGACTTCTTACCCTATAAAACTCCCATGGCTTTCTAGTCGTTTCATCCATCTCTTAGCGATATCTACTTCCCCCACAGAACCTGTGCCAGAAATTAGAAATTAGAGATTTTCTAATCCTATCTTTTATTCTTTTAATTTTTAAAGTGTGTGTGTGTGTGTGTGTGTGTGTGTGTGTGTGTGTGTGTATGGTTTTGATATTTTCAGAATCCTGCCTTGTCTTCTGGAAACTAAAACTGTTCAGGTCATTTCCTGAAGAATTAACCAAAAACAGGCTTCTCCCTCTCTATTCTTCAAGAGCACCATCCTTAAAAGGTCAGTTTATTACTGACACTGTTTGCAGAGTAGTAATCTGTCTGGCTCCGTTTTCCTACGATATAAATGGCCCAGAGGGCCCGATTATACCCCAACGGTATTTAGGAACCACAGGATATCTCCGGTCACATCAGGTTCCAGAGCTCTATCCTTCCAGTCTGAGACAGGGAGGAAAAGGGTAGCGTAAGTGAAGGCCTTCATTCCCCGACCTGTCCCGAAGCTGACCAGCTACATACACCGGGTCAGCTGACAAGGGCCGTGGTGGCCACCAGCATTCTTCCTCAAAGAGGGGGGGCTGTTAGTCTCTCCAGAGTCCAAGAGGAGCTGGTCACCTGGGCAAAGCTTTCAAGATTATCCAGGCCGTCTTTAAGGTATTAAGCACCGAGAATTGCTGCTGTCCCAGCCCCTGGCTTTGTTGCTCTGCTGTGGTTGTTTTTTTCCTAAGCAGATCGTACACTGAAACGGACCCGCAGATTCTCTCTCCTACTGAAATGAAAGCCAGGAATTGAACGACCAAGAATCGTCCTTCACGCTCATGCGGGGCCACGCGTACCCTGCCAGACGCTTTTCCCTTCCCCTTTCCCCAGCTGCCCTCCCCGCTGAAGCAGTGTGCTTGGCAGCCTCGTCTTTGGGCTCATTCATGCGTCCTCCCCGCAATTAGCGAGTGGACCCTTGTGCCAGCCTCGGTGCTGCCTCCCCCCCCCCACCCCCACCCCTGGGACGCGACAAAGCGCAGCCCTTCCTCCAGGCAGCCCTCGTGGTTGTGCACAGGGCCAGCCCGGTGGTTCCGAGTGTGCCTCGGATATGTGTGTTGTGTGTGTGTGTGTCTGGTGTGTGTGCGCGCGCGGCGGGGGTGGGGGTGGGGGGAGGGTCACCGGGATCGCGGTGCCCTTGGCGCAGGTAAATGCAGAGGCTGGGGGGGCTGGCCCAGCGCCCAACCGAAGGCTGTTTCCCAGAGCAACCCGGGGGCGCGGGAGCCACCGAGGCCCAGACGCCAACTTGGGGGTCCCGTGGCGCGCCGGTCCCGTCTGGGAATGGCTGTGCGGAGGCGCCCGCTGCAGCGGCGAGCCAGGATGCGGGGTGGGGGGGGAGGGGGCATCGCACTTCCCAGCAGGGGACGTGGGGACAAGGATGACACAAGGCGCGAGTCCCTGGGGGTGGGGTGGGGTGGGGTGGGGTGCAGGAGCGGTTAGGGTGGATGACCGCCGGGGACGGCCCCGAGGGTGGTCTGCCCGCGGGGGCAAGCGGGAGGACTGAGGTCTGAGCGCTGAGGGCCGCGGCGGCAGAGGGGGCCCGGGAAGGCGGGAAGCGCCGAGGGGGACCCGCGGAGGCGCCGAGGGCGGGAGAGGGGGCGCGGACACGCGGCTCGATTCTCCTCAGCCCTCCGTGCAGCGCGTGGACAGCGGCCCCGGCGGAGCCCGGCCCGCCCCGGCAGAGGCGTCCTCACCTCCTCTGTCGCCTCAGCGCGGTCCTTCAGCGCGGGCGGCGGCTGCGGCGGCGGCGTCTCGCGCCCTCCTCGAAGGGTCGCGGTGCCTCGGACTCAGGCCGGCGCCCCCCGTCCTCTCCACGCGGGTTGGTAACGGCCGGGCCCCGCCCCTGCAGCTGTGGTGCCGGTGGTGCGATCGGGCTGCCCGCATGCCGCCCCTGGTGGACGGCGCGTTGGTTCGTTCCGCTGGACCGGCGGGGCTCGCCCACCTCCCGCGCTCCGGCTGCGCCGGGAGCCGCGAGTCACGCGGAGTGTTTTCCCGCGAGGGGAGCGGCGAGGCTTCGGCGGGGCGCCGCCTTCTCGGCCCGCGTCCCGCCCCCTGGGGGGCGGAGCCAGGCAAAGCGCCCCGGGGGCCGCGCTGGAACCGCGCTCGCAGAAGGCGGCTGGCACCTGCCTGCTGGCCTGCAGGGCAGGTGCGTCTGGGTACACGGCTTCCCCTAAGGTAGCGAGTCTCACCCCCTGCTGACGTCCCTCTGGAATTTCGCGGCGAATATAGAAGCAAGCGAGACAAATGTTACTGGAAGAGCTCCCTGAGGTGTTAAAGCCCTCAAAGGCCTGAACAGAGGACCAGGTGCCTTAGACACACACAGGAAGGAATTCTAGCGCAAGCCAGAGAAATCAAGCACAGGGAAAGGTTCATGAACGAATAGCTCACGTGGGGCTGGAGAGAGAGTACAGCGGGTAGTGCGCTGGCCTTGCACACAGCCGACCCCCGTATGATCCTCGACACCCCTTACGCTGTCTCCGAACGCCTCCAAGAATTAAAAAAATTAAATAGCTTACCTAAGACTTAGAGCCAGGTGTAACCTAAGGAGGGAAACAATGGTTATAAGTAAGAGTTTGCTTGAAGAGAGAACCTTCTCAGTGTAGCTGGAGTGTGTCAGCAGTGCCATTTCTTCAGAAATTTCTAGTTTATGCAGGTAAAGCTGGAGCGATAGCACAGCGGTAGGGCGTTCGCCTTACAATCGGCCATGGCCGACCCGAGTTCGATTCCTCTGCCCCTCTCGGAGAGCCCGGCAAGCTAACGAGAGTCTCTCACCCGCAGAGCAAAACCTGGCAAGCTCCCCGTGAAGTATTCGATATGCCAAACACAGTAACAACAAGTCTCACAATGGAGATGTTATTGGGCCCGCTGGAGCAAATCGATGAATAATAGGAGGACAATGACAGTGACAGTGATTTTTGTTTGCTTTTGAGCCATACCCAGTGAAGCTCAGGGGCTTCTCCTTGTGAGCGTGGCTCCTTGCCCATTATGTCTAAAGCTCAGGGACACTGGAGACTGTGTGATGTGGTGTTAGAGGCGAACGTGGGCATCCCACATACGAGTGTGTGCTCTAGTTCTTTGAGGTACACACTGGTTGTCTAAAAGTTAACTTTTTCCTTTTGTTTAATAGTTATAAAGTAGGCCAGTAGTAAAATTGGAGCTTACTCTAGGGCTATCAAAGGCCCATATTTCTAATAGAATTAAATAATCCTCAACATTCTATTAGATAGCATCTAACATTTCATTCAAAAGGATACCCATTTCAAAATCTTCCACACCTTTTCCTGATACTGGTAAATAAAAGGACAAATGAAAATATGAAAATATGAACAATATGATTGCAAGAAATTAAGAATGGGTGAAGTATAGGGGGTGTAGGTTCTGAAGGAATAGGAAGGAAACATATGTTCATGAGTTTGGCTTTTATTCTGAAGGCTGTAAGCACTGTTAGTTGAAGCAGGAGAGTGATTAGAACAAGCTTACACTTTAGAAATCTTACTCTAGTAGGGATGTGGATGCTGAATTTGAAGAAAATAAAGAGACCAGTTAGAGAATTCTGGCAATTACAATGAGAATTGAGGGATTCTGAATTAGGTCTAACTCGGGGGTTATAAGAAGAAAAGGGATCAAAGAAATTTAGAGTATAAAATCCAGAGAATGCAATGGTTAGTTTAATGTGTTGCTGGAGGATCATACAGTAGAATGAATAGTGGAGGCTGAGTCCCAGGAGGCTCCAGATGCGGAATCTTCTCTAAAACTCTTCACATATTTGTTACAAGGTCTGGGGCTAAGAATTCCAGGGAAATGTTGGTTCTAGGACAATGCTTCCTACTTTCTCTATTTCTGGAAATGGTAAAATGAAGTTATTCCCACTGACACACAAGTTCTTAACTAAAGTGTGCCATATGAGCTAGTCAGTTCTTTGACCTCTTCTGGTTGTGGATGATCATGCTGCATAACCCAGCTGGGACTCCCCTGTGGCTCTGCTACTGGGAACTCTTTAACTGAGCTCAAGCACGAGGATGTCCTCACTGAACACAACGTCAGAAAACCCCACATGGGACTCAGAATGGAACAGTGATTTGTCTTTTTTTTTCTTTTAACATTGTTTTGTCCACTTAAGTTTCAGCTTCATTCTTTATTTTCTGTTAGATTCCAACAGAAAACTGTGGGTGCTTTAAATTTGAGGCCTGATTCCTGGCAACTATGATTTTTAGCTCCTGCCCTCATCATTAATTTAGTTTCTCAGATTTCTAATTGAGAGATAGAGGAAGAGAGAGAAAGGGAGAGAGGAGAGAGACAGAGAGAAAGACAGAGAGAGAAGGGAAGTGCCTGCAATAGAGACAGGCTGGGGGAGGGAGAGGAGAGGGAAACTGAGGACATTGGTATTGGTGGTGGGAAATGTACATTGGTGGAGGGATGAATATTGGAGCACCATATGACTGAAACCTGACCATGAACAGCTTTGTAACTCTGTATCTCATAATGATCCAATGAAAAAAGAACTGCTCGGTGAGACTGGACTTCATGAATTTTCTGACCATTTTTAGATTTTACCAATACTTTTGTCAGTTTAAGTTTTACTTTAATAATTAGCCAGGTTTCAATTTCTGGCACCTCAAAAAGAAATTAAATTAACAGTTATGTTAATGAAATAATTTTTAAACTTTAAATTTGGGGACCTTAGAGCCAGAGAGAATATAGGAGATAAGGGATTTGCCTTGCAGGTGGCTTCATCAGCCTTCACCCTGGTGGGAATCCCTGGAACTTGTCTATGGTCCCCTGAGCACAGAGACAGGAATAAACCCTGAGCACCACTGGGTCTGGCCCCCCAAGAAAAATAAAATAAATAAAATTAGGGCCCTGTGATATGGCTCAGTGGCATAGCACTTGCCTTGCATGTGTGTGGCCTGCCTCAATTCCTTGGTATTGAAAAGCAAACTTTAAAATTAAGTCATTTTTATCTTTCAGTTTGGCCTTCTGTGAATGGTCAGGCTCAGTGGAAAAGGGGATGTGTTCAGAGGATGTTTATCATTTCTCACTTATCTCTTCTCCCTTCCAAGCTGCTGACTAGTTAAGCGGCAAAACTTCCCAGAGGAAATTTTGGACTGGGGTCTGTTACACTTCTGTGGTAAATTCTTTTCTCCAGAGCTTGAGCAATTAGGAGGGGAAAGAGATGAGTCGTACTTGACTAAGATTGCCACAAACCAGCCTGAGTGCTGGGCTCTACATGAATTCCTTTTGTGTTTTTGTTTTTTGTTTTGGGGTCACACCTGGTATTGCTCAGGGATTTTACCTGGCTCTGTGCTCTGCTCCAGGATCACTCCTGGCGGGCCCAGGGAACCGAATGGGGTGCTGGGGATTGAACCCAGTCAGCTGCATGTAAGGCAAAAGATCTACATGCTACACTGTTTAGGCTCTGAGAATTATTTGTTAAGGACCCCTTTTGTAAATCTTCTAGAGTTTCTCTCTGTGGGTGGAAATAATTCTCTTATACTTCACTTTCCCTGGGATGGGGCTGGAGCGATAGCACAGCAGTAGGTCGTTTGCCTTGCACGCAGCCAACATGGCCAACCCGAGTTCGATTCATCTGCCCCTCTCGGAGAGCCCGGCAAGCTACCGAGAATATCTCGCCCGCGCGGCAGAGCCTGGCAAGCTACTCATGATGTATTAGATATGCCAAACACAGTAACAACAAAAGTCTCCAATGGAGATGTTACTGGGCCTACTCGAGCAAATCGATGAACAACGGGAGGACAGTGACAGTGATACTTCACTTAATTCTTCCAAGTGAATTTTTTTTTTATTCTAGCAGAATCAAACTCATTGCTTCACACAGGCAAGGAAAGTGGTCTACTAATAAGTCACATTCCCTAAACTATCTTAGATATTCGAGTATGAATGAATGAACTCTCATTCACCACTTACAACTGCTTTAGAAATCCCTAGACATTAAAAATATTAATTTTGGGGCTGTAGCGATAGCACAGTGGGTAAGGCGTTTTCCTTGCATGCGGCTGACCCAGGTTCGATTCCCAGCATCCCATATGGTCCCCCAAGCACCGCCAGGAGTAATTTCTGAGTGCATGACCCAGCAGTAATCCTTGTGCATTTCAAGGTGTGACCCAAAAAGCAAAAAAAAAAAATTTATTTAGTTTTTGCTTTCTGGGTCACACCCAGCGATGCTCAGAGGTTACTCCTGGCTCTGCACTCAGGAATTACTCCTGACGGTGTTTGGGGGACCATACGGGATGCCGGGGATCAAACACAGGTCGACTGCATGCAAGGCAAATGCCCTACCCGCTGTACTATTGCTCCAGCCTCAATATTAATTTTATTGAAGTAAAACTTTAAATACAATAACATGCACAGACTTTAAATATACTTTTTGATGAATTTTGACAGGTGGCTGCCTCCAAAATTAATATACAGAATATCTGCATCATGCCCTTTCATTGACAGGTAACCCTACCCTCAGGCTCTTTCTAGTTAATTTGAAACAGCTAGGCATTTGCCAGTTTATCTCCTGCTTCCTTCTGCTGTGGTCACCTCCACCTTTCATACTAAAGGAATCCCAAATTGCTCACAAGACCCAAGTATTTTCTATGAGGACTACTCATGTACTCCTTTAGTCTAAAAAACCCTGGGTGCACAGATCAATTTCACCACAGCCACCTTTTCTTGCTCTGCCACAGAATAGAGAGCCAATTCTTCTATTGCTTTTAAGATTTTCCAGGAATCTGTTAGGTTCCCCAAACACATTAATCTTCAAGTAATTTCCTCAAAACACTCCTGTATCCTAAAATGAGGTCCTTCAAGTATAATGGAAACTGGACACCAAAGGACAGGATTCAGTTTGAAAGGACAGAGTAAGAATCGAGCTCAGAACAAATGAAAGACAGAATTCTTTCATTTACTCATTCATTATTAATGTAAAAAACATCCGTAATCTAAGTGCTGGCACTCTGCTGGGTGATAGGAATATTAAAAAAGGAACAAAGCTCTCATCCATGGTCTAGCAGAGACCCAGAAGCAAAACAATTAATAAAGGCACGAGTGATAATAATACCATCAAACTTTGAGACCTGAAGAGATATACAAAGTAGCCTAGGCAAGGCAAGGCAGAGGTACCCAATTCAGAATAGGAGGTTGGTTGTCAGTGACTACTCCCAAGGCTAAGAGTGAAGGGAGACAGACAAGAGTTAGAAAACAGGAGGGGATGTATTCCAAGATGACATTATAGGAAATGCCAAGGCTCAGAGGCTTCTGAAGGTAAAAATACCTTTGAGGAACTGTGAATAGTTTGATATGGCAGAGATAATAGATCACTTGATCACTTGACTTCCTGTTAATCATCGATTTGCTTGAGCGGGCACCAGTAACGTCTCCATTTGTCCCTGTCATGTGCTAGTGTAGCCCAATGGCGTCTGTTTGTTCTAGGTACACAAAGAGCCTCAAACCGATTGTTCAGGGTCTTGACGAAGACGTCGGACCATCTGGTAGGTGAGCGGCCACGCGATCTTTTGACATCTTGTGGAATCCAGTTGGTAAGGGCTCTAGTCCAGCTGTGGTCTTCAAATCTCATTACTTGTCCAGCCCATCTGATTTTCAATGCCTTGGCACATGCTGAAAGTAGACTATAGACCAAACATGATTGCCACTCAATGCCTCTTTTGCAAACCACAACACAAAACCCAAAAGGAGAGAGAGAACAAAGGGGAATGCCCTGCCACAGAGGCAGGGTGGGATGGGGAATGAGGGGTAGGAGGGATACTGAGATCCGTGGTGGTGGGAAATGGCCACTGGTGGAGGGATGGGTATTTGATCATTGTATAATTGAAACCCAAGCACAAAATTTGTAAGTTTACAACTGTACCTCATGGTGTCTCACTAATAAAAATTAAAAAAAAAAAGAGACAGCATCCCTGATTCTTGACCATCAACGGAGGTCGGAACTCTGGATTCTTTCTCTCATTTGAGTGAAATGTGATACTCCAAGTATAGCTCTTTCGATTCCTTTTTGGGAGACCTCAATAGCGTTCTCAACAAAGTCTCCAATGGAGACGTTACTGGGTCCGCTCGAGCAAATCGATGATCAACGGGAGGGCCTTTACTTTACTTTACTTACAATAGCGTTCTCATCCTGTTTTCGTAGGGCCCAGGTCTCTGAGGCATATGTTAATGCAGGAAGAACAGTGGAATCAAAGATATGTGCCCAGAGCCGGAGGTTCTTCGTCCTCTTAGCTATTTCTTCGAAGCTCTTGAAGGCATTCCAAGCCACTCTCTTCCT